CTGGAGACGCTGCCAGCTGCCACCGCCATGAGAAGTAAGATGTAAAGATACTGGTAATCCATGAGCCATGTGGCAAGGTATAGATTTATAGAAATGGGTTAATTTAAGATATAAGAACTAGATAGCAAGAAGCCTGCCACGGCCATACAGTTTATAAGTAATATAAGTCTCTGTGTGTTTACTTGGGTCTAAATGGCTGCAGGAGCCAGGTGGACACACACAAAAACACTTCAGCTACATCCCAGCACTCAGGAGACAGAGCCAGGTGGGTCTCTGTGAGTTCGAGGCCAGCCTGGTTTAAGCGTGAGATCCAGGACAGGCACCATAACTACACAGAGAAACCCTGTCTCAAAAAAAAAAAAAAGAAGCTGAAGCAAGAGATTCATGAATTCAAAGTCAGTCTGGGAAACATAGCAAAATGCCATGTCAAAACAATAAGAAAAAAAATTTAGAAAAATGAAATTAAGTCCTTGTCAGTACAAATATCAAGGAATTCACAGTATCAATATATCTTATTACCAGTACTGTTAAATTTCATTACTTGATTAAGGTTGTTTTTATTGGTTATCTACAGTATAAAGGTTCTACATTTTCTTTTGGAGAAAATAAAAACAAGAAATTATGGGCCATGAAATTTTATACTGAATTCCCCCACAGTTAAGCACCTTCAGAAAATGTTTGCATCTACAAAATTATTGTGACAGTGACAAAGTGACAGCTTTCCATCTGTATTATTACATGTAATACTACAATGGAGAATTAATTAGCCATTATTCCAAGTAGTACCTCCCACTTGTTTGATTATAACTTTAAATCACTAGGATCTTATGGGCATTTAATTTTAGTCTGTGGATCCCTATATCACATCACACACAAACAAACTCAAAGTGGTTCACATACCTAAGTACAAGAGCTATAACTGTAAAACTTTGAGAAGAAAATCACATGCTTGGCCCGGTAAGATATGATGCCAAAACAAAATCTATAAAAAACACTAACACATAGGTGTCATTTGAATTTCAAATTTTTGTGCTTCAAGACATCCCTAAGAAAATAGAGACTAGGAGAAAGTTTTTGTAAATTACATAGCTGATAATGAACTTTACTTAGAATACTAAAGTCCACAAACTCAGTAAGACATAAGGTGCAAATTAAAAATAGCAAACAATTTCCATTTGCTTGATATAGATTTTCCCACTCTGTTAGTCTTCCTAGGTCATTTTTGCTATAAATGGGTGTCCAGCACACTATAGTTAGGCTTTACGTTGAGTCATCAGAATATTAGTTATAATACGTTCAATTTATTTTTGTATCTACTCTTAGAACTTTTGTAGCAAGCAATGTTTTGCTTTTGCTTTATAGCAATGTAGTCCTCTTCAGTCCAAAGCAGGGCAAATTTCCCTGAGCACTAAGCATCCCTGAAGGATACAGCTGTTTGAAAACTTTGTTATAGTGACAGCATTTCCTAGAGATAGTCAGGGTCAACCCAGTTTCTCGAGATAACTGTACTGGTTAGTGTTTTGTGTATTTATTGTTCAGGGTTTTTTTGTTTTGTTTGGGTCAACACAGCACCATCTGGAGTCATCTGCAAAGAGACCCTCAATTTAGAAAATGCCCCCATCAGATTGGCCTATAGGTAAGCCTGTGAGGCACTTTCTTTACTGATGATAAATGTGGAAGGGCCCAGCTCATGGTGGTCCTGGTCTGTATAAGAAGGTAAACTGAGCAAGCCAGGAAGAACACAACAGTAAGCAGAGCTCTGCTTGAGTTCCTACCTTGGCTTCCCTCAATGACTGATTGTGAGCTGGAAGTATAAGCCAAATAAAGCCTTTCTTCCCCAAGATGATTTTGGTCATGGTCTTCATCATAGCAATGGAAAGCAAAGTAAGACAATACCCAGAGTATGGATTCTTTTTTTTTTTAAATATGTAATTTTTATTTTATGTACATTGGTGTATTACCTGCATGTATGTATGTGTGAGAGTGTCAGAAGCCCTGGAACTGGAGTTACAGACAGGTGTGAGCTGCCATGTGGGTGCTGGGAATTGAACCTGGGTCCTCTGATGAGCAGCCAGTGCTCTTAACTGCTGAGCCATCTCTCCAGCCTGTGAATTCTTTATAAGGGCTTGCTTCCCAGTGAAGAGTAATACACTGCGCCAAATCAAGAGCAAAACATTGCTTGCTATAAAAGGTTCTAAAGAATAGTTGGGGCCTGGCTTGGTCCTGTGGCAAAACTGGTTGCCTCCCTGGCCTTCATCTGGCTCCATCATATTGTTTCATAAGAACCCAGATGCTGTGGGATGGTCTGTATGTCAAATGTGTTGCTGATTGGTCAATGAATAAATCACTGATTGGCAGTGGCCAGGCAGGAAGTATAGGCGGGACTAACAGAGGAAAATTGAGAGAACAGGAAGCTGTTGAGGGAGACACTGCCAGCCGCCATCAGGACAAGGAAGATGTAAAGTACCGGTAAGCCACAAGCCACGTGGCAAAGTATAGATTAATAGAAATGGATTAATTTAAGCTGTAAGAACAGTTAGCAAGAAGCCTGCCATATCCATACAGTTTGAAACCAATATAAGTGTCTGTGTTTACTTGATCGGGTTTGAGCGGCTTGGGACTGGCGGGTGAGAGAGATTTGTCCTGACTGTGGGCCAGGCAGGAAAACTCTAGCTACAAATGGCGCCCAACGTGGGGCAAGAGTTTCCACCTAAAAACTGAGAAAAAAGATTCTAAAACGGAGCTAAAAACAGCTTCCTAATTGTCTCTCTCAAATGAGCGGCAGCCTGTGGTTTGAGCTACTGGCGGGTTCCTAGCGTGCGTGCTTGCTCGACCTGCCGCCGTATGGCGGGAATGAGGTCTCTGCAAGTGGCACATTAAGCTGCTTGGTGAATTTAGCCTTTGCTAGTACAAAACAAAAAAAGAGGTTTCTGGGCTACACGCTGCATGGATAAAAGCATAGACCCACGATAGCTCCCAGAGCTGGCGGAAAACTACAGTACCGCCGCCATGTTGGGAAGCTGAGGTGGGCGGAGCCAGCAGCCACAGCTGCTGCAGCTTAAAGCAATAGATTCACAATAAGACAGATTCAGATGTAATAGTTTAAAATGTGTGTAAAATATACGTAGGCTTGAAAGAGACAAAAAAGGTGATATATACAGTATAGAAACAAATACATAGTTTTAAAAAATAAAGTCTTTAAAGAGACAGTAAAATTAATATAAAAAATAAGCCACGTGAAGATGAATATTACACAGAGAATCTGGATTGTGTTGTCTTTGGGATTCTTAACTACAGAGAGATATTTGATTGTAAAGGAAGCTGAGTTAAACCAATATGCATATTTTAAAGGTACCTTGACTTCAAAATTTGGATATAAGGATATGTTGCTTTGGAAAGGAGATTCTGCTTTTGTTCCCACAGAAAGCCAGAGGCTATGGATTTATTCCAGATTAAGATACATCAGGTTTGACCAACCAAGACCCCCTGAAATGTCTCCGATGACACCATGGCCCAGATGATCCAACATCCAGAACCGTTTCAAGGCAACTGGCTCAGACGAATACACCCTCATGGACTACTCCATAATCCTAAAATGTTCTTTGTGTCCCCATAAGATACAGCGCCCCCCTCCAGCAGGAAGTAGTAAGAGAAACTACGCCCAAATTCCCAAATATACCAAGCTGACTTTGGAGATGTGTAAAGGTTAAAACCTTCCTTTTTAAGAAAAGAAAAAGGGAGGTGCTGTGGGATGGTCTGTATGTCAAATGTGTTGCTGATTGGTCAATGAATAAATCACTGATTGGCAGTGGCCAGGCAGGAAGTATAGGCGGGACTAACAGAGGAAAATTGAGAGAACAGGAAGCTGGAGAGGGAGACACTGCCAGCCGCCATCAGGATAAGGAAGATGTAAAGTACCGGTAAGCCACAAGCCACGTGGCAAGGTATAGATTAATAGAAATGGATTAATTTAAGCTGTAAGAACAGTTAGCAAGAAGCCTGCCACGGCCATACAGTTTGAAACCAATATAAGTCTCTGTGTTTACTTGGTCGGGTTTGAGCGGCTTGGGACTGGCGGTTGAGAGAGATTTGTCCTGACTGTGGGCCAGGCAGGAAAACTCTAGCAACACCCAGATAACTCCTCTGTTCCTAGGTTTTGTCCTTCTTTCCTTTAAAGTACAACTAAGCTTCCAGCCTATTTGGGGGTGCTTCCAAACTTCAAGAATATCCTTTCTTTCTCTTAACTAATCCTCTCTAAAAAAACTCTTACAGAAGGAGATACACATACTCACATCCTAGAGGCTTTTCAACCCAATCAAGATTAATCATCACTCATTTTCTTAAAGTTTTCTAAAGCATGTGATATTGAGCACTTTTCAGATGCTTATTTGACATCTCTATATCTTTTTTTAGTGAACTCTAACCTAATATTTTAACTAGTTTGTTATCATATTATTGAGTTTTAAGAGTTCTTTTGTATATTTTGGATAGAAACCCTTTGCAGATATGATTTACGAATACTTCTCCCATTTGTGGGAAAATAACATTTTAATTCTAAGTGGTTTTCATAAATTTTTTTTATTTTAGTAAGGTGCAACTTCCCAAGTTTTGGTTTTGATGTTGTAGCTATACAGTCACCACTAAAGTCAGCAAATATGTTTTGGTTTTTGTTGCTGTTTTGGTTTTGTATTCTGAAGCTATTCTGAGTATTTTCCCTTTCCACAAAAACTTAGAGTCGGTTATCAGGATCTCAAAAGTAACTAACTAGGATTTTTTATTGAGATGGGGTTAGACATATAGATCAAATAAAGGCATGATTTCTTATCCATGAATGTTTTTCCATTTACTTAGATTTTCGTTTCTTTCATCAGATGTCTGTGCTTTGCTCACATGGCTATTTCATATTTTTTTTTAAACTTATGTCTTAGTTATTTTTCCTGTTATTCTGATAAAATACCCTGACAAAAGCAACTTAAGGAACAGAAGGTTAATTGGCTTACAGTTTAAAGTCCATCATCGCAGAGGAGTCACAGCAGCAGGAAAGTGAAGCAGCTGGTCACATCATATTTACAGTCAAGATGCAGAGAACAATGAATATTTATGCTTAGATCACATTCTCCTTACAACATAGTACAATACATCAATCAAGTACCACCCACCTTGGATGGGTCTTTTCACCTTAATTCACCTAACCAACATAATTCCCTATGTTTTCTTAGGGGCCTATCTCCCAGGTGATTCTAGATCTTACCAAGTTTACAAAAGAGATTAGCTATCCCATTTAAACCCTTTATCAACCTGACATTCAATTACATCACTTAAAGTCATAAACTTAGCCAGTGTGGTGGCCTGCTTTAATCCCAGGACTCAGGAGGCAGAGACAGATGGATCTCTGTGATTTGAGGCCAGGTCTACATGTGAGTTCCAGGACAGCCAGACAGATATACATAGTAAGACTCTGATTCCCCTCCCACCCGCATACACCTGTGGTGATACTTTATTTGTGCTTTAACAAATAAAGCTTGCCTAGGGATCAGAGGAAAAAGCCAGCCACTATATTAAACACAGAAGCCAGGTAATGGTAGCATAAGCCTTTAATCCTAGCATTTGGAAGGCAGAGATTCATCCGCATCTCTGTGAGTTCAAGGCCACACTGGGAACAGAGCCAGGTGTGGTGGCACATGTCTTTAATTCCAGTACTAGTTAACTACAGAGGTCTGGAGGTCTATACAGACAAACAAGGAGTGATAGAGCTGGGCAGAAAAAGGAAGTGATGTAGTTGGGCAGAGAGAGGAAGTAAGATGGCAGGACACAGATAGGTATATAGGCGTGAGTATACAGGAAGTAGCTCTTTCTTGGGCTGAGAATTTCCTAGCAGTAAGAACTTGTGGCTGTGGCTTGTTCTGTTTCTCTGATCTTTTAGCTTTCACCCCAATATCTAGCTCCGGGTTTTCTACTAATAAGACAGTTTAGCAATTCATGTTATACACACCATTTTCATTCCTAGTTTCCAAAATCTTGTGTTCATTTCAAAATGCAAAATATAGGCAAACTCTGAAAGTCCCCCAAATTTTAACAATTCCAATTGTCTAAAAGTCCAAAGTCCCTATCTCATCTAAAACTCAAAGTAAGCTCTGTAAACTGTGAGCTCCTATAAAGCAAAGAACACATAGTGGCACAGAGTAAACATTCCTATTCTAAAACGAAGAATCAGGACATAGTAAGGAATGATCAGACCAAAATCCAGCAAGGCAAACATCAAATCCTGAAGGTCTATGTCCTTCATCAGGGGTTTGTGATGAAATTGATTAGGCACCAAAGGACTCAGATAGCTCTTCTTCTCCAACTCCGCCACATACAGGACACACAGCCTTTCTTTGGCTGACTGTTCTCTACTGCAGCTTTCCTCTACAGATGGTCCATGATCCCACATTTCCTAACATGGGGGGGGGGTTCCTCTATTGCAATTTAGCTTCACTTTCACAAAAAAGCTTCTCAGAACCTTCTTTCAGGAACTCTGATTCTGCCACACATTGCCTGGTTTCAATTCCTTTGAAACCATGGAGAAAGACTTCACGGCCCCCACAGTCTTACATCATCCATGCTTACTGTGGTGTTGTCAATGAGAAATGCCCCCCATAAGCTCATGTATTTGAACACATGGTCCCCAGCTGGTAGCATTGTTTAGGGGAGGTTCTGGAGGTATAGCCTTGCTAGAAGTATGTCACTGGGGGAGGGCTTTAAGAGTATGTAGCCTGGCCACTTGGACCACACTGTCAGTTTCTGTATGCGGATCCTAGGGAAACACTCTCCTTGGTTGGTTTTCAGTTTCTAGGATCAAATGAGTTTGGATCTTCACAAGATGGAGTGTCCAGTGGATAGGATTTTGCCCTCAAAGTATCTCTTATTGGGTCCATGCAGTACATATTTGTCTTCAGGGTTGTGCTGGCTCGTTTTGTCAACTTGACACAAGGTATAGTCATCAGAGAGGAAGAAGCCTCAATTAAGAAAATGCCTCCATAAGATCAGGCTGTATGCAATTTTGTAAGGGCATTTTTCTTAGTGATTGATGGGGGAGGGCCCAGTCTATTGTGGGTGGTGCTACCTCTGGGCTGGTAGTCCTGGGTTCTATAGGAAAGTAGGATAAGTAAGCCATGGGGAGCAAGGCAACACCCCTCCATGGCCTCTGTGAACTGGGTCTCCACCATACACACTTCTCTCAGCTTTCTTGACTTGCAAGCTCCCTCAAGAATAGCCCATTAAGCTCTTCTTCCAGCATACTTGGGCTTTTCTAGTCAAATTTCCAAACTCTTCCACATTCCTCCCACAAACCAGTGTCAAAGGTCTAAGAACCACACGGTCATGTTTATCACACTAACAGCCCTCTCCCAGTACTAATCTGTCTTTTTCAGCTTTTATGAAAAAATACCCTGAAAAAAGCCAAGTAACAGAATTTGTCTCACAGTTTAAGAAAGTCCAACACTGTGGGAAGTCACAGCAGCAGGAGCTCGAGGAAGCCATTTAAACTACATCCAGTCAAGAAACAGAGATGAATGCTTATGCTTACTTAGCATATTGCCTCCTTTTTTCTTACATTTATTTATTTCTGTACTAGGGAGCATGCATGTGACATGATGTGACACACTGAAGTCAGGGGACAGCTTTTAGAAGTTACTTCCTTCTTTCCACTATGTGGGATCCAGGGATCAAACTCAGGTCCTCAGCTTTGACAGCCAGCACTTTTACCCACTGATTCAACTCACTGGCCTTCATTCCCTCCTTTATGTACAGTATCGGATTCCATCTAAAGCAATGATCCTGCCCACAGTGGTTCCTCAAGTAATCTAATGAAGATACTCCTCACAGCAATACATACCATATCTTATTTTCCTTTTGGATTGCTGATACAAGAGTCTCAATTTTAAAATTCTAAGTGTTCACTGATGTTATACAGGAAATTAAACTTTGGACACTAGGAAATTGTGTGCCTTACAACCTTACTATAAATGAATTTTTGTTCCAAGAGTTTTTCTCTTGGTTCCTAGGATTTTTTTTCTTATTACATTAAGTATGATGCTGAATAAGAATAAGAGGACACATTTGCCTTGCTCTGGATATTAGAGAAAACATCTACATTCTTACCATTAATTATATAGTATTTTGTGGATATTTTTTGTCAAGTCTCAGAAGACACCTTACTGAGAGATCTGTGTGTTCCTGGAGGCCATAAGGTGTCAGATCCCTGCACAAAGATTTATAGATGGCTGTGAGCTACCCAGCATAGACTGGGAACTGAATTTCAATCCCCTAGAAGAACAGAAAGCATTCTTAATCACTAAACCATCTCTCCAGCCCCCCAAATTACAATTTGCTCTTAAATTTTATCACAGATGGATACTGGACTTCGGCAAAGTTATTTTCTGTATCTTTTTGTGTGACTGTGAGATTTTTCTGCCTCACTTTTGGGATGTCTGACTGGGCAGGTTTGGTCAAAGTCTTTGTTCTCATTAACAAAAAGTTATAAAGAGACATACAAAGTAAGCAAGTATAAGTTTTATTTATAGAGAAAGTCGTTAAGAAAGTAAAACCAGATACATTAGGAGCAATGTCAGCAATTACCTTGTAAGGCACCTGCAGACGGCAATCAGGGCATTATTTTATAAGCTCAGAGTTGTTGATGAGGGCAGATCATTTGATCAGTTTTACCTTTTATGATAATCACAGAACCATGCCTTGAGGACATGCATATTATTCACTTGCAACCTGACGTGCAATTGGAGTCATTTTTCCCTTACCAATTGAGTGTCACCAGTGGAAGGTCACAACACTGGTTAGGCAGGAACTTTAAACACTGCACATGTTCAGGTCTTTTGTAGCTGGCAACCATGCATGGACTGATCTCTAAAGCTTTTGAGCCCAAGCAAATATTTCCTCAAGTTACTTTTCTCAGACATTTTGCCAATGACTAATGCATAATCAGAAAACTAAGTAAAGTAATGGAGTAAGAAGTCTTCATGCAGAAGCACATCAAATAAAATATAATAGTAGAGCTGGAGAGATGGCTCAGTGGTTAAGAGCACTGACTGCTCTTCCAGAGGTCCTGAGTTCAATTCCCAGCAACCACATGGTGGCTCACAACCACCTGGAATTAGATCTGGTGCCCTCTTCTGGCCTGCAAGGACACATGGAGGCAGAGCACTGTATACATAATAAATAAATAAACCTTAATAAATATAATAGTAAACAGTATTTTTTATTACCTGGGGCTTAATTTCTAACCAGATAGATTGTGGTACACTAAAACAAATTTTTGTTTGCAAACTACACTAACATTATTATTTATGGGGAAAATATTCCCAACTCAAAAATTGAGGTATTTCATAACCTCAAATACTCTGGTATTCAAAAAGTTCATATTTCAAATTATACACTAAGAACTATCCAGTAAAGTCTATGAAAATATTCCAAAGCAAAAAATACTCAACATTTCTTAATCCCTAGCACTACAAAACCCCCAACTTTCAAATCTGAAACATAACTGGTCTCAATGTTTCAAATACAGGATACCCAGTCTATATCCTATCTGAGTCAATGAAATAACAAATTCTCTCTATATAGATACACACACACACACACACACACACACACACACACACACACACACACACTTTTTTTTTGTTGTTTTTTGGTTTTTGAGACAGGGTTTCTCTGTGTAGCTGTGGCTGTCCTAGAACTTGCATTGTAGACCAGGCTGGCCTCAAACTCACAGAGATCCACCTGCCTCTGCCTCCCTCATGCTGGGATTAAAGGTATGTGCCACCACCACGTGGCTGAAATAACAAATTCTAAATCTTAATAGATTTTAGTGATTTTTCTTAAATCATGGAAGCACAAGACGACATTGTTCTCAGCACCTAAAACATTTTCTACATTACTTGAAAGCACACAAAGTTTTAAGGCACTAGGTTTAGATTGGTTGTATATAGAAACTAGTGTAATTTTCTATTTTTATCTTGCTATCTAAAGGCTTGTTGACGAATTAAGAAAGAAGTGAAGTAAACTTGTCACATAAATGGCCCAGCTGTTGGTTGCCTTTATCTACTCTTGTAATTTACAACAAAGGACTTAAACCACAGCACCTCTTCCTCTAAAGAAGTGTTGGATCTTTGAAGCAGATAACTTCAAATCACTCATTAAGAAGTTACTCACTCCACCAATGTCACATTTAGAAAGGTATTTTACACATAATCTCTCCCTAAAAGGAACACATGTTCTGTAAAATACAAGTGCTGAGTGGAATGAAGTGGGGAGCTGAGAGAGGGGAATGGGGCTGAAGACATGGCTCAGAGGTTAAGAGCAAGGGATGTTCTTCCAGAGGATCTGGGTTCTATTTCCAGTACCCAAGTGATGGCTCTTCTGGCCTCCACAAGCACACAGATGGTATATAGACACACATGCAGGCAAATACCCATGAGTATAAAAATAAACACACTTAAATAAAATAAAAAATCTCAAGTGCTGAGCATGGTGGTGGACACTTGGGAGTCAACGGCAAGAGAACTGACTAGCCTGGGCCCACACCCTGCATTTTAGAAAAAAAGTAATGAAAGAGATACCATGATAAAGGGAGATATCATGGGGATAGAGAGAAACCCAGTGCTAGGGAACTTGCCAGGAATCACCAAGGATGACCCCAGCTTAGATTACTCCTGAACTGAACTGGCTTGAGCCAGCAAGCAGATTGGAGAATACCCTGTCATCACAGAGCTTTGCGCTAATGACTGATGGAGGCAGATGCAGAGATCCACAGCCAAACACCAGGGAGAGCTCCAGGAGTCCAGATGGAGAGAGAAGAGGGATTCTATGAGCAAGTGCATTGGGATCATGATGGGGAAACCTATAGAGACAACCACACCAAACTGGTGGGAACTCAAGAAAGTTGGATCAATGGTTGTGGAGCATGCTTGGGACTGGACTAGGCCCTTTGCATGGTGAGACAATTGTGTAGCTTGATCTGCTTGGGGGGCTCCTGGCAGTAGAATCAGAATCCATCCCTGGTACATGAGGGGGTTTTTGGAGCCCATTACCTATGATGGGATACCTCGTGCAGCCTTGAGGCAGGGGGAAGGGCTTGGGCTTGCCTCTACTGGATGTGCCTCCCCCTAGGAGGTCTTGCCTTCTAGTGGAGGAGAATGGGGGGTTGGTTGGAGGGGGAAGGCCGGGGAGTGGGAGGAAGGAAGAGGGGGGATCTCTGATTGGTGTGTAAAATGAAAAAAAAATTTCTTAATAAGAAAAATGAAAAAAAGATTTATAAACTGTAATACACAATATACATTTTGAATATGTATAATGGCAGTACAAGTCATTTCACAAAACAAAGAAGACGGACAGCCAGGGTATGATGGTGAAGGCTTATAAACTCAGTCAGTACTCAGTAAGCCCAATGCCAGCTGGGATACATGAGACCTTATTTCTAAACAAAAAAGAAGAATGGACTATGCCTTGGATTTGCAAATAATATCCTTTATTTAAATAGCCCTGTTTTCTTTGTCCGTGGATGACAAGAACATCATTTTACTGATGGAAGGCTTCTAATCTTATTCGTGCTGGATCTTCTGGATGTCTCAAAGCAATTCCATAACGCAGCAGCAGCTCAATATATGGTGGCCAAAAGGAATCACTAATTTTAACGTATGGATCATGTGGAACATCAAACATTCTATTTATAAGCATCTAAGGAAAAAATTATTACAAATGAGCTTTTTGTGGGAAGTCTACATACTTTCATAAAACAATAAGGTTACCCTCCAAAGAATACTGACTATCTTTTCTCCTTGAACTGCTATTCATAAACATTACTTTTATGTACTTAAACAATATCCAATTTTAAAGACTACATTATTAGATGGAATATGTATTAAAATGAGAACATTTCCTAAAACCCACCTAAAAATATTTACAACTTTCCTACTGCTCTTAGTAGAATTCCATTAGGATAAGGGCAAGAATATTAAAAATTGAAATTTATATAGATGAAGTATAGAAAACTTAGCTAGCTACGTAAGGGCCCTGGGTTTTATCCCTGTTACTGAAGGGGGAAAAAAATTAAAACTTGAAAACAGCACAAAAATTTCAAAAGAAAGCTAGCAAGAGTCTCTGAATATTTGGAAGGGAAAGGAAATCACCATTTCTTTATTCATCTATAGTAAATGAAATGGTGTCATTTTCCGGAAGATGGAACTAAGAATATCATGTTAAGTGAAATAAGCCCACCTTAGACAAAATCCTGCTTCCCTTATATGGAATCTAGTTTTAAATAGGAGTATATGTGTGTATATGTGTGTAAATATGAGTGGAGTGAAAGCAGAGCGGGGAGAACTATATGGTGTGGTGATATTTTAATTGTGCTGAAATGTGTTTTTATTTGTATGTTAACAAATAAAGTTTGCCTGGAGATCAGAGGTCACATAGTGAGGTCACATAGCGAGCCATAAACAGGAGTCAGGCAGTGGTAGCACACACCCTTAATCTGATCACATGGCAGGCAGAGTCTCTGTGTGGTCAAGGACACAGCCAAGCGTGGTGATATGAGCCTTTAATCCCAGTACCAACCATAGAGACCTAGAGGTCAGTATAGACAGGCAGTGACGAGGAAATCACGTGGTTGGGCTGAGAGCCAATGAGAAGGCAGAACAGAAAGGCAATAAAAGCACAGGTCAGGCAGGAAGAAGCTCTCTCTGGGGAAGCAACGGTGGGGAGGTGGTAAGATAAGGTAGTCATGGCTCTTTGCTAGTTCTCTGATCTCTTTGGCTACTACCTCTGTATTTGGCTTTGTGTTTCTTATTTAATAAGATTGTTTAGAAAGTCGTTTACAATATGGGAGAGAAAGAAGCGTGGAGAAGAGGAGAAAACAAGAGAACTAAGGAGGGGAAGAAAGACAAAATAAGGGAGACTATTTGGTGGAAAGGTACAGCAAAAGGAAGGAATAAGGAAGAAAGATGGTAGTAATTGGGACAAAAATGAGCAAGGCACAATGATACATGTGAAAATACCACAATCAAACTTATTATTTATGTTATACCAAAATCTTAATTAAAAAATAAGAGAAAAGAAAACCAAGGTTCTGTCATTACCAGAAAGTTTAGAGAATCTAGCTAATGAGATCTAAGAATGAATGGTCTTCTACAAATCTACTGGCATTGGCAGAGATTTTTCATGAAGCAATAATATTTAATTATTTGAAAACTAATGTCTCACAAAATAAGGTAAAAATACTGAATGTCTTTTATTATTTTGTCTCTTCTTCTACCTTCCAGTGATTTAACAATTTATGAAACTAGAACTTAGAACTCAGAGGGATTAGGGATTGCTTAGGTACACATAATTCATGACAAATGATTAATTGTCAGGTCAATTTTAATTAAAGATATTATTACTTTAAGGATCATGAAAAGGCATAATTACACAAATATAAAGTTTTGTAAAAGTGACTAAAATTAACCTTTCAAGCTCTAATCTCAATCATACTCATAATTCAATATTTAAATTCATGAAATAAAAATGTTGACTACCACTAGTTTTCCCATTTCAAGCCCTTCATCCTGGGGAATGAAAAGCTCAGAATCCCCTTTCTTTTAAGTATCATAATACAGAAATATTTTCATATTTTAGAGTAGTTGTTTATCTTAATACAATTTAAAAGCCTTATGGGCTGGATATATAACTCAGTGGTATAACACTTGTCTATGGCAAGAAGCTGCATTCCATCCCAATACCACAGAAACCAAACAAAGTGATCTTATTTTACATTTCTAGTTTTTATGAAATTACAGTAATTAAAATTCTAATAAAAAGGACAGTAGAAATATGTTGAAAATTCACATTTAAAATGAGTATGTTAATTTTTTCACTAAATTGTAGCTTATGTATTATTTTTGTCACTAATAATATGAACTGCAGAGAGATATTTGGTTTTCTAAGTTTCATATTGTATCCCATGGGAAATCATTAAAATTTATAACCATGTGTTTCAGATGATATTTTCCATTACATGTAATTTAAAATTTATTACATTTGTTTCTCTGTGTGCACATGCATATCTGTGTGCTGTGTGTGCGCGCCCATGAGCGCATGTGTGGACATACACATGCTTCATAGTGTGCATGGACAAGTTGGAGGGCAACTTGCATGAGTTGTCCTCTCTCCACACACCACATGGGCCCCAGGGATTGAACTCACCCCGCTGAGCTTTGCAGCAAGCACATTTAACCACTCAATGATCTCACTAGCCTAACATGACATCTTTTCACTTTAAAAAAGAGAATACATCCAAGAAAAGTTACGGTTTCAGCTTCAACTAGTAAAATCAGGAATTACTAAACAAATTCTGATTACAAATCAGACAAACATTTCTATCTTGCTTTTCATACCAAAAAATATTCACTAGGAAAGATTCTTAGGCAGTAAACCTGAGATTTTGTACCCAACACATTAAGAAAGAATGAAACATGTTTTCTGAAAACACTCTTCTCAATGTACTAGTCCTAGAGCTGAGAAGAGAAGGGAACATCCGCACCCACCCCTAGTCCAGAAGCTATCTCCAACTGAGAGCCACTTGCCAATGAAAACTTAGTTTTCCCTAAGAGTCACACTGGAGAAACAAGCCACTTTTAAGGGTAGTCCTCATGCTCAGAAGCAGATGGCCAAGTAAAACGAACTCAGTGGCATCTTTGGAGGCTCTTTGTCTCACAATGTTGCGGGAGGGCTTTTTAAAAGCCTTATAGCTCTTTGGCATATGTAGAATGGCTTCCGGGTTTTTAATGGGATTCCTCAGGGTGTGAAGGTGTGTGTCTCTCATCTGTGTGTTCCCTGTGCTTTTCCCTTGGCCCTTTTTCCTCTGGTTATTTTGTCCTATCCCAGTTGGTTTGTTTTCATTTTATCTTACTGTATTTTATTATTATCCCTAGATGCCTGTTTATTTTCTAACTAGAGACAGAAAGGGTGTGGATCCAGATGGGAGGTGAGGTGGGGAGGAACTGGGAGGAGTTGTGGGAAAGGAAATCATAATCAGAATATATTGTATAAAAAAAGTTTTCAACAAAAGAAAAAAATTTAAAAAATACAAAGCACACCACTTCTTGCTTTTCACAGACTTCTCTGCCTAAGGTTTTCTAAAGTAATTCATATATTTAATAACCTGGCCAAAGTTCAAATACATTTTGACAATGCCAAAGATATCTATTTATAAAGCAAAATAAATACCAAAATAAAAAGTGAGAATTAGTCTTTCAGCTGTAATAAAAGAAGCGTTTTATATGAGGAAAAATGTTATATTCATTTATATGTTTTAGCTACATTAGCTACAGGACTGAGTTGTAAACTGAAATTCTATCAGCACAACAGCACAAGATGTTAGGGTGCAAACAGTAAATGACCAAATAAGAAACTCTATTAAAGAATCAAATATTCTTAATAGAAAATCAAAGTAGCATTTTTTGTCTTAAGTCTAATTGTTCACCAAAGAGACAGCTCAAATTAAAAATTACACTTACCTCTATCATTTCATTTAGTGTTATCAGTTGTGCTTTTGATTCTTGAGTGGTTGTCTTTGAGAAATGTAAATAATAGTTAACATTGGCAGAAATCGAACTATATATTACAAGACTTAAAACCATTTCTTAGTTATAATTGTAGTAGGTGACTAAAGTCAAATTCTGAAAGTCAACAACTTTGTGGTACAAGTTAGATTCTTTTTTTTTTTTAAAGATTTATTTATTTATTATGTATACAGCATGTTCGACTGTTTGACTGCAGGCCAGAAGAGGGCACCAAACCTCATTACAGATGGTTGTGAGCCACCATGTGGTTGCTGGGAATTGAACTCAGGACCTCTGGAAGAGCAGTCAGTGCTCTTAACCTCTGAGCCATCTCTCCAGCCCCACAAGTTAGATTCTTAAAAATGCAACGGAAAAAGGTTCTAAGACAGTGAAAACCTGTATAATTATTGTTAGATACAATTTAGCTATCCATAACATACAAGAAATTATATTATACAAATTGTATTTAAGACTATAAAGTAAAGTAGCATGCTTGAACCAGACAAAAACTCTCCAAGCAGATGGTATCCCATTACTTTTCAGGTAGGCTTCTAAGGGAGCCTTCCTTGTAAACTCCTCATAGTTCATCAGTTCCTAATGTTTACTCAGTTCACTAAATTTTCCCCTTTGAATAACATCAAATAACTCATTAATAAATTGGAAGACAGCCACTATAATACTCAGGTGTTTTTCATATTAATCCTCCTTAGTTCCTTCAATTCTTTTTCTCATAACATAGATTTGAGATCCCTCATAACTGTAATCAAGGTTAAAAATTCCAGTCTCCTAAGTGATCTAGGTATGATTCAACCATCAAGAATAAAAAGATTATTTGCTTTGATAAATGCAGATGCTAGAATGCTATTCATTAAATTTCTGGATATCTATTTAATCCTGCTAACTTCTGAGCATTATATCACCTAAAATGCCGAAGTACTGGGCCAGGCATGGTGGTGACATATGCCTTTAATCCTAATACTCAGGAGGAAGAGGCAGTCAGAACTTTATGAGTTTGAGGCCAGCATGATCTATATTGTGAGTTTCAGTTTCAGGCTAACCAGGCTAGGCTACATAGTAAAACACTGGAGGAGGTGGTGGGGTGAGGGGGGAGGGAAAGGAGAACAGAGAAAACAAAATTATTCTTGAAATAAAGATAACTGAGTAAAGCTGGATCTCAAAATCTAATACCATGCTAAGTAAAAAAGAGTAAAGTACCATTATTAGTGGAGAAAGCTTAGTTACAGAAGTGACTAGCAAACAGCAAGACACAGATTAAATTTAGATAGATATGCTGAAATCTCAGAAACTCTTCCTAAATAAATCATTTGGTTAAAAATTATTGGTTTAAGGAGCTGGAGAGATGGGTTGGTCGTTAAGAGCGCTGACTGTTCCTCCAGAGAACATGAGTTTAATTCCTAGCACTCACATGGTAGCTCACAATCTTCTGTAACTCACACATGTGCAATACAGGTATATACAAAGACAAAACACCAAAATGCATAAAAAAAAGAAAAAAAAAGATTTTACAAATATTGACTGAAATTTAAGAACTGATAAAAGTAAGTAACAACAGATCCAGTATAAAATAGAATAAAAGCTAAACACACATACTAATCGTAGTTTTTTTAATAAATATAAATACTGAAAGTAAAAAACACACCACACAAAATTGAAATAGGGGTATACATGTGTGTTTTCTGTAACAGGAAGGTAGTAAGAAAACTTAAAAAATTCTTTTTCTCCCTGCATGCAGAGCAGAAAGCAATGTGAAGAGAATGAAGGTGTCAACTCCCAGGCAGGAATAGACCTCATCAGGAACTAACCCTGACAGTACTTTGATCTTGGACTTTAGAATGAAAAAGAAACTCCATTTTTATGCCAGGGTCTCTGGTCTTTTGTTACAGCAGCCTACTAACACAGTATCAATGCTGGCCAGATGAAGAGAGGCAGAAAGGACAGCAGGCCACAGATGCAGAGGAAGGAGCAAGAGGCTCCTATTAAGTTGTCTGATCTCTACACACAAGCTGTGCAAAGAAAGCATGTGCATGCCATGTGCACATACCATATGCATAAAATCTGTAAAAATGTCTTTAACCAATTCTATTTTATTAAACGATAAAGTAGCTCTAATTTTTCAGTAACTATGACAGGATGAAGGCATATTTGTGCATGTCTCATTATGCCTTCATTCCTTTGCTTTTGTTTACACACACACACACACACACACACACACACACACACACACACACCAGTTACAATGATAACAATCTAAAAGAATATCTTCTCTGAAACTTACCTTTTTCTTTTTAATATTTCCATCAGGCAGAGGAAAATGATCTTCTAAAAACTCACCCAAGGTTAACAGAAGCTTCTCCTTAAATTCTTTTATACTAAGCATCTTAGCTTTCAGTTCATTAAAGATTCTAACAATAAAAATAACAAGACAAATATTTAACTAATAAAATATATTTGTGCATGCTTCTGGTTATACATAAAGCTGATCAAAGCTGTCAAAACTTCATTTGATCCACATAACTAGAGAACATTCTTTTTTGTTTGTTTGTTTTTTTGTTTTTTGAGACAGGGTTTCTCTGTGTAGTTTTGAAGTCTATCCTGGATCTCACTCTGTAGACCAGGCTGGCCTTGAACTCACAGAGATCCAGCTGGCTCTGCCTCCCAAGTGCTGGGATTAAAGGCATGCGCCACCACCGCCCAGCTGAGAATATTCTTTATAACATGTCGTGAAACTAGTAAGTTAAGTCATTCAAAAAAGAAGAAACAACTAATAATTGGCAAAAATTAGGGCAAGTGTTATGATTCCCAATAAACTGGGCCACCTTTATTTTTTCAAATTTAACTTTTTATTGATTCTTTGTGGATTTCACTTCATGCATCTCAATCCCAATCATCTCCTCATCCCTTCTCATCTGCTCTCTACCCTTCTAACAACCTGTCCCTAGAATAAAACAAGAAAAAAATTAAAAGAAAAGAGAAACAAAGAAAAGAAAAATCTCATTGTGGAAGCTGTAGTGTGACACAGTGAGTCACACAATCCTTTAGTCCATATAGTGTTACTTGCAAGTGTTCATTACATTGAGTGTTGTTTGTCTGGTTTGAGGACTCTGTTTTTGTTACATCATCAATACAGGTCCTTCACTGGGGTTCCTCCTGGATATTCTGTTGTTGTCCTGTGTCATGGAGATCCTATCACTTTGGGTCTGCAGGACCAACCCCTTCATGTGCTCCAGCAGATCATAGATAGGGTGGATGCTGGGATGGGCCAAATCACAGCTCTGGTTCTGGGTCTGGTGGTTGCTGGGTTGGTCAGCCTGCCAGCTCTTCTTCATTCTCAACACCAGGGTGAGCTCTCTAGTACTACCCCTGCTAGTTCACCCTATGTAGTAAGCAGCAAGGGGCAGGGCTGATTCTCCTGCTCTCCTAACCTCTGGGTTGACTCACCCACACCTACACCACTGGGCCAGCTCTACTGTGTTGCCAAGTCAAGCTGTAGGGGCCACTCTTCCTAGTGCTGCAGCTGGTGAGAGGCAGGGCCAGCTCTCTCCATCTAGTGACCTAGGGACTGCTCTCCCACCTATCACAGGCCTCAACAGGCATGGGAGGGGGTTCTCTCCCTTGCCCACATCACCATATGGTAGATGAGAGGTGGGGCTCACACTGACATTCTTGGGACCAGTTCTACTGTGTTGCCCAGGCAAGGTGCAGGGCTCATTCTCCCTAGTTCTGTGTATGGTGGGGGCCAGGGTCAGCTCTCTGCTTCACCACAGGTGGCAAGAGGGAAGAGGAGAGGGCATCTTTCCTTCTGCCTCAACACCACATGGCAGACAAGGGGTGCAGGGCCAACTCTCACGATCTCAGGACAGACTCGAATGTGCCCCCACCAGCAGGATGGGCACGACTATGGTGCCCAGATGAGGTGCAAGGCTCACTCTTCTGAGTGCTGTAGGCAGCGAGGGGCGAGGGTTAAGGGGGGGGGGTATCTCTCCCCCACCCATGCTACATGACAGACGAGAAGTCGGGCTAGCTCTCCCACACTTACACCCTCCGGGGCAGCTCACCTGTATCATCACCAGTAGGGTCAGCTCTACAGGGCTGCCCAGGTGAGGTACAGGGCCTCTTTCCCAAGTGCTACAGCCAATGAGATACTGGGCCAGCTCACCAGTTCTCCTGACCTCAGGGCCAGCTCCACCACCTGCCACAATAGTGAGGTGTATGGGAGGGGAAAACATCTCCACTTTGTCCACACCACCACATGGCAGATGAGGGGCAGGGACAGATCTTACACACTTAAACTGGGCCAAGTTTGATCTACTTTAATATAAAAAATACTTTCTCAAAAAAAATCTGTTTGAAAAAATCTAGAACACAGTACTAAGTACCTTGATTCAGAAAATGTCACAACCTGGTTTTTCAAATCACTGTGTAATACATTAAGAGATTCCAGAATTTGTTGCTGTTCATCCAACCACCGCTGCTCCCTTTAAAAATGGAAAACAATAGGGTCAATAAAAATTTAAGTGTGAACTCAGTATGTATCAATGATTAATAGGAATTACAAGTTTACCTTTCTAAGTCTTCTTTTAACTTTTCATTCTTCGATTGAATAGTAGATACTACCATTTCAAGATTATATCTTAAATTTTGGAACTAAAATAAAAGAATGCAAGTTAATGCTTAGCCTTTTGGCTTATACATAGTTTAGATTCTGAATGACAGTGAAATTGATCTATGGCTCAATGTATAAGCCAATAGTAAAAATAGCTACCAGAAAGAATTTGAAATGGAAAATATATAGCACCCAGACGGTAAGTTTTTGGTGACATACCAATAATAAGTATAAAATAGAAGGAGTTCAAAGTTACAGATTTTAATTTCAAACTGAAATTAAATTAGTGAACTGTTTTTAGTAGATTAGATCTCTTTTATAATGAGGTTATTTTATTTTTTCTTTTGTTCTTTATGTGTGTGGGTGCCATATATATATATATACATATATATACATATATATGTATATACACACACACACATATATGTGTATATAATGTATTTTATTTTTACGCTCATTGGTGTTGTGATGGTATCCATGTCTGTGTGAGGGTGTCAGAAGTTCTGGAACTGGAGTTATAGACAGTTGTGAACTGCCATGGGGGTGCTGAGAATTGAACCTGGTTCCTCTGGAAGAACAGCCAGTGCTCTTAACTGCTTAGCCATCTCTCTAGTCCCTCTTTTCTAATGAGAACATACAAAACTAAAGGCAAAAAAATTAAAATGATTCTGTCAGCATTGGTTCAATCTGCTACTCCACATTCACTGTTGAAGGAGGCCAGAATGCAAGAGTGAAGAAAACAAAGTGAAATCCAGAAAATTAAACAATAAATAACTACAACATGTATATACCAGGGAGATTTAAAGAAAGAAAAAAAGAAAAAAAATAGAATTGTGAGGTGCAGAGCTGTTTTAAGGCATTAAAGGAAAGCTCTCTGACCAGATAACATTAAGTAGCAGAAAAAAGGGACAAAAAACAAAGAAAGTTACTATCTAGTAAAAGAAAATTCCAGAGGGAGTAAAAAATAAATCCAAAGGTCCTGAGACATGGATATAATTGCGATACCTGACCAACACAAAAGGGCATGTGAAACTGAGTTACAATAAACTCTGACCTCTTAGCTAACATTCTTTCCTTGGAAGAATATATTAATTAGTATTCTATTCTCGAGATTGCAAGGGATTCCACTACCTTTTTAAAAAATTCATATCAGTTATAAGTTACAGATGTGTATTATAAACTCTAAAGTAACTGAAACAATTAAGGAAAGGAATAGAAATAACCAGTAATCCAATATTGCAATGAAATGGCTTTTTGAAAAAATGCAGGAGGCTGGAGAGATGGCTCAGCAGTTAAGAGCACTGACTGCTCTTCCAGAGGTCCTGAGTTCAACTCCCAGCAACCACATGATGGTTCACAACCATCTATGATGAGATCTGGTGCCCTCTTCTGGCATTCAGGCATACATGCAGGAAGAATACTATATACATAATAAATAAATAAATCTTTTTTAAAAAGCACAACTAAATCAAGAAAGGAGGAAAATAAGACTACAGAGAATAGTGTGGTGATATTTGTAAACTTAAGAAATAAAGCTTGCCTGGAGACCAGAGGACAGAGCCAGCTACAGAGTTAAACATAGAGGTCAGGCAGTGGTGGGACACATCTTTAATCCTAGCACTCAGGAGGCAGAGATCTGTATACTATAGATCGAGGCCACCCTCGACTATAGTAGATTAATCCATTCTAAAAGAAACAGGGCCAGGAAGTGATGGTACACACCTTTAATCCTATCACTTGAGAGCTCTGCTTTTGCTACCAGTATTTAGGAAGCACACATGCCTTTAATCCCAGCACTAGGAAGTTTGAGATAGGAAGTAAAATGGTTGGGTGGAGAAAGGCATATAAGGTGTGAGGAGACAGGAACTCAAGCCCTTTCAGCTGAGGACTCAGAGGCATTCAGTTTGAGGATTCACAGAGACAGGATCTCGCCTCCCTTTCGGCCTGATGATTCGGTAGTGGTGAAAAGTTTCTCTAGTGGCTTGCTCCTTTGTCTCTCTAATCTTTCAGCATCTACCCCAATATCTGACTCCGGGTTTTTATTATAAGACCATTTAGGATTTGTGCAATAAAGTAGGATTAAAAAAAAGAAAAATAAGAGTAGACATTGTATCATTGTATCAATGAGATCAATCAATATCACACTGATACTATATTAAGTACAGTCTAACAATAGAATTAAACTAGAAATTAACACAGAGAAATAGGAAACTACAAATATAGGGACACTAAAAAAAATCTCTAAATAATCTATGAGACAAGCAATAAATGGGAAATTGAGAAATTATAACTTCAATCATAAGTTACTGTGGCTTAAAACAAAAATACAACATTAAAATTTCTAGGAGCAGGAAAGATGGCACAGTGGTTAAGAGTACTGACTGTTCCATTCTTCTAGAAGTCCTGGGCTCTATTCAGAGCAACAACTATGGTGGCTTATAGCCATCTATAATGAGATCTGACGCCCTCTTTCGGTGTGCAGGTATACCTGCAGACAACAAACTCATACATAAAGTACATAAACAAACCCTTAAAAAAACTTGTTTTTTTGGAACATTCACATAATAACATATCTCTAAAACCTTGTTAGAAATAAAGGAACACTCTCAAATTACTGGTCTAGTTTTCTATTACAAATTTAAATAAATAAACCTCATAATAAGCTAAAGGGATAATGATAAGGAACAAAAATCAATGCAATGTGAGGGGGGAGAAAGGACCAGAGATGAGGAGGCAAGGAGGATCAAGGGAACTCAGTAAAGCCCAAAGCGAGCTCTTTGAGAAACACTAAGTCACTGTTTCAATAGACTAAAAGAAGAAGAAATCCACTGCAGTGAATTCAGAAAGCATGACAGAAGTCACTATTAATCTCTCTCTTTAAAATGAAAGACTAAGGCTAAGATGGAGCTCACTGGTAGAGATCCTGTCTAACATGAACAGAGCCCTCCCTAGGTTTGCTCTCTAGCATCATAAAAAAAACTCTTCGGAAACTGTTATGGAAGGAATTTTCCTCTTTCTAGTTTAACACATCTATGATAAACTACTATAAACATCATTTTGTTTTTATTTTGCTCATTCTTGCCCACTACATTTCAGTTATCCAGTGGTGGTCTGGAATACATTCCTTTGTGGATATGCAGAGAATCACTACCCTTCTGAGACTCTGGGAATGAGAAGAGGCGGGATATTTAAAACATAGTCTAAAGAACGGAAGAACAACAGCTATCACAAAAGAGATGATAGAAGAGCTGAGAAGCATTCCAATCATGGAAAGCGGCAGTAAGCCCCAGCACTTAAGCTTTATTATGCAGAGAACAGTAAGACAGGCCTCTCCAGCTCTAACTCTGCTAAGGGCTTAAGGTGCACACTGACTGAAAGGAAGGGAAATCAAAGCCCAAACCACAAGCCATGCAGCTCTGGTGACAGCAGACTGGCAATCCTAGTCAAAGAATAAGCCCGGTTCTCACAAACTTTAAGTTCAGCTGACGGGGGCAGGAGAGCAAGGTGGAAGTGGTATGACAGTGACTCCTAAGTCACAGGCCACACCTAGAGAGACTATCCATTTTGTCCTTCCCCATACTGCTACAACTAGGCACTCACAGAAACAACAAATACCCTGTTGGAGTGTCTGTCTAGGAAATGAAATGGCCATAAAAGCATCTGTAGAAAGGGAGATCAGAGTGGACATATTGAAAAGTTTAGGCAGCAGGGGTTCAATCATGGAAAGCGGCAGTAAGCCCCAGCACTTAAGCTTTATTGTGAAACTTAAGAGCTTGGGGCCAATAGACAGCGACTCTTTGGCCTCAGGAGCTGCCTCCATCTCACATATGCTGTGTTGCTCTGAGGCAAAGACAGAGCCCTGAGTCCAAGGCCAGTAGCTCACTCAATTTCTGCCTCTAGCAGAGTGGTTCATTGCCAGGCAGTCTGGAAGCACTGAGACTGGCAGGCAAAGTCCTGGGTTCCCTTAGTTGTCCCCAGCCATGGCAGATCTCATGGCTCTGTCTGTTCCCCCAGCTACCCAAACATCCAAAGCTTTGGACCTTTGCCACCCCTCTATGTCATACCTGTGTGAACACACTCTCTCAATCTTGATAATACAGATAGGCTGAGTTTTTCAAACCTCTAAATTTGTTTCCTATTTGATTAGTAATTCTATCTTTAAGTCATTTCTCTAGTCTTCCATTTTACAAAGAATAGCCAAAGAATGCTAAGACACACCTACACTTTGTTTAGAAATGTACTTCATTGCTTCCCAGCTCCATTGCTCACACGTTCTATTTTTTAACAAAACACTAGGACCCTGAACACTGTCCTTGTTTCTTGTTAAAAAGACAACCTTTTCTTTACTGTGTAACACTATGGTATAAAATATATATTTTAGTCCTTCCCCCCTCCATATTTTGATACAGGTAACCCAGATTGGCCCAAAACTAACTATGAACCCTGGGCAATTCTCCTGCCTCAATTTCCCAACAACAAGTATAAGCCACCATGCCCAGTTATATATTGGTCTTAACCCTTCTTTCCTGGCATACCATTCCTAACACACTAGGAATCTCCAACACACTAAGTACCTTTTTTATACTACTGGATGACAAGTAGAACCTAGGCAGCTTTAGGATAAGGGCTAGACACTAGAAAAGACCAAGGCATGATCAAGTGATTGGGACTTTAGGCTCTAGCTTCACATTTTTGGAAAGGGAAGAAGAGCTGAAAGTTAAGTTAATCAAAGACCAATTATTTGGTCAATTATACCTACATAAAAAAGTTTCTGTATAAAACCAAAAGGACTGGGTACAGGGAGCTTCTAAACAGCTAAATACATGAAGGGGCGGGGGCTTAGGGAGCACACTCAGAACACAGAAGTTCCATATCCTTTCCTATACACCTTAAACTATACATCTCTTTCATTTGGCTATTCATCTGTATTTTTTTTTGTGATGCCTTTTATGACAAGTAAGCATGTTTCTCTGAAAATTTTCTAGTCTCTTTAGACAGTTACTTACACCTGAAGAGGGAGACAAGCAAACTGATTCACAGTCAATTGGTCAGACATACAATAGAAAACTTACTTCTGGGACTGTCATCTTTGTGAGACACAGTTCCACGAAACTGAATTTTGAACTGAATTAGAGGACACCAAGCTGACACCTGCTATAGAATCATCTGCTGCAGAATCTGCCAAAGAACCGATTTCTGATGGGGAGAAAGCTCCAAAGCACAGTCTATAATCCCAGCATGCCTATGGCAAAATGGCAGGTGGAGACAGGAGTCCTCAGAAGCTACTGAGCTAGCAAAACTGGCACATCCAGTGGCAAAAAGGAAATCCTGTCTCAAACAAGGTCAAAGCTGAGGACAATAACCAAGGTTGACCTCTGACCTCCACATGCACATACTCTCACACTCACACCAGAACTACATATGCAAACAGTAAAAATAAAGAAAATTCAAATCTTTAAAATATTAAGTTCAATAAAACATGTAAATTTTAATGTGTTTTTGGGGTGGGTCAGCCTAATTCTTATGTCATAAACTGAACTGATACAGTTCTAATTATACATTATTTGGTAATACTACAATCATAAATGACTCACCTCTTCTTTTCCTAATGTTACCAAAACATCTTCAGTCAGGGGAGTTACTACAAAAATAAAACAAATCATGCACTTAGTTAATTCTTTTTTTTTTTTTTTTTTAAAGATTTGTTTATTTACTATGTATACAGTGTTCTGCCTGCCTGCCAGAAGAGGGCACCAGATCTCATTACAGGTGGTTGTGAGCCACCATGTGGTTGCTGGGAATTGAACTCAGGACCTCTGGAAGAACAGCCAGTGCTCTTAACCTCTGAGCAATCGCTCCAGCCCTAGTTAATTCTTAAGAATTTGATTTTGTGGCTTTCCTGAGATAATTCTTTTCCATTCCACTTACATATTACCAAACTTTTGCAAAATTTATTAATTTTTGTGACTTCTAGGTTAACATCTTTGCATGTATAACCCCAAGCATATAACACTGGATAAATTTGATATCTATGAATTTTGGTTTTATTTCTTTTCCTTCCTGAGGCCTTAAAAGCATGCTTAATGATGCTTAATAATGGACTCCTAAGGTATTTTTCTCTGTATCTATATGTATATGTACATATATATAGACACAAACACAAAAGTTTTATTTTTTGTCATTGTTGGTATTATAATAAATAGCATATATGCATATTCAGATATATTAGCATTGTTTTCACTCAGCAGAACTCCCATGGTATAGAAATAATTCATCATTTAATAACTGCATATTTATTATATATGTATGTGTATCATGATGTAGTGGTAATTTCCAAAACTGAGTACTAATATTGTACTACACATCTTTTTATGTCTTTATGTAATAGTGCTTTTAATTTCAAGGAGCATATTCCCAGAAATGGAATTATATAGAATGAAATGTAGTTAAAACTTTTTAGACCATATCAGACTTCTTTCTAAAAATGCATGTATAATCAATGAATTACGTACAGTAAATTATATACTTAGAATTTTTGCCAAACAGGAGAAACAAACATTTAATTTCTCATAGAGAAATTAATAAACTATTCAATACTTATCCAAAATTTTTGCTTTTTTAATCAAGTACTATTTGAAATTATCCAATGATATATTACTAAAACTTGTCTACTATATTTGAAAGCCTTCTTAAAAAAGCCGTCCTATATGTACTTTAAAAGCCAATTTTAGAATTGGTTACAGGTAATTCTAGAGTGACACTTGTATGGTTTGGATAGGTGTATATAATAAAGATCCACGCACTGAAGGCTTGGGTGCCAAACGCTGACACTGACTGGAGCTAAGAGGAACTGTCTGAGGTAGAACACAGTAGAACACAGTAGAAAGGAGCTATTAGGTCACTAGAGAGGTGCCCCTGAGGCACTGGAACCTGGCACCTTTTGTCTAAAGTCTGGCTACCATGAGTTAAGCAATTTTGTGGTTGATATATTGTGCACCCCAAGAAACTTGCCTGGGGGTCATAGAACAGAACAGCCACTATATTAAACATAGAGGTTAGGCAGTGGTAGCACACGCCTTTAATCCTAGCATTTTAAACTCTGTGAGTTCAAAGCTACCTTTAATCCCAGCACTTGAGACTTGATGTCTTGCTTGGGAAAGACACACGCCTTTAATCCTAGGAAGTGATAGTAGAAAGCAGAAAGGTATATAAGGCATGAGGACCAGGAACTAGAAGCTTTTAAGCTTTGAGGCTTTTAGCAGCAGTTCAGCTGAGATCCATTTGGGTGAGGACTCAGAAGCTTTCAGTCTGAAGATTTGAGGAAACAGGATCCGATGAGGAGTTGTCAAGGTGAGGTTAGCTGTGGCTTGTTCTGTCTCTCTGATCTTTCAGCATTTACCCCAATAGCTTGCACTGTTTTTTGGTTTTTTTTTTTTTTTATTAATAAGACCATTTAAAATTCATGTTACACAATTTCCTCCAACTTGTGCAGTCACCAAGTTTTCCCTCGCCACAGGTGCAAAAGCAATAGTCAACCAACCATGGACTGAAACTTCTGAAAACACGAGCCAAATAAACTTCGGCTATTTAAAATTGTTTATTTCAGACATTTTTTTTTTTTTCAGTAACAGCTGGCTAACACAAGTACTAACCTATTTCAACAAATGCAACACAAAGAGTTTTGGAGACTGTTTACAATGTGAATATATACTTATCACTATACTTATGTGACAGAATAAATTTTATGTGTATTTTGCCATAATTAAACATTTAGAAAACAGAACTTTAGGGAGATCTATAGGACTGTAACTGTAAGATACAACATCATGTTGCTGAACTTCAGTAAAGGAGAAAATGGTTAAAAAGATGGATGAATGGATCACTCTGTGAAGGGGAAATGGATGAGATCTCCACGAGTAAACTGGGGATGTGGGGTGGGCAATGTAGAGCAGGGGTTGGGGGATGAGAACATAAGGGAATGTGATGGTTGAGCAGCAACAGAGATGGAGTAGGAGAACAATGAAAGAGATACCATGATAGAGGGAAACATCATGGGGACAGGGAGAAACCGGGTGCTAGGGAAGTTCCCAGGAATCCCCAAGGATGACCCCAGCTTAGACTACTAGCAGTAATGGAGAGAGTGCCTGAACTGGCTTATCTCAGTGATCAGACTGGTGAATACCCTAACTGTCATCACAGAGCCTTCATGCAATAACTGATGGAAGCAGATGCAGAGATCCACAGCCAAGCACCAGGCTGAGCCCCAGGAGTCCAGTCGAAGAGAGAGAAGAGGGATTCTATGAGCAAGGGCATCAAGATCATGATGGGGAAAACTACAGAGACAACGAAACCAAACTAGTGGGAACTCATGAACTTTAGATCAACAGCTGTGGAGCCTCCACAGGACTGGACTAGGCCCTCTGCATAGTGAGACAGTTGTGTAGCATGAACTGCTTAAGGGGCCCCCTGGCAGTAGGATCAGAATACATCCCTGGTGCACGAGCAGGCATTTTGGAGCCCACTTCTATGATGGGACACCTCACACAGCCTTGAGGCAGGGAGAGGGGCTTGGACCTGCCTCTACTAAATGTACCTCCCCATGAGTGTCCTTACCTTTTTGTAGGAGGGAATGGGGGTGGGTTGGGAATGGGGAGGCTGGAGGGGCAGGAGGAGGGAAGAGGGGGATCTTTGATATATAAAATGAATAAAAAATTTTTTCTTAATTAAAAAAATAAAAGTACAACTTATAACTTCAAAAAAAAAAGAAAGAAAGAAGGAACCTCGCAGACAAGAACAAATTTACAAATTTTGTTACTATCAACCATAAAAAGAATTATTGAAGTATTTGAAACAAAAACAGAAAACTCATATGCCTAATTGTTGTTTTTTTTTTTCCCATGTCTTCTCATAAGACTTTCAGAATTAAGTGATTCTTGGCCAAGAAACAAAAGCAAAATCATCCCATTCTCCAGTGGATTCAGATAAAAACTTGTAACAAAATCAGGTACAACTCTAAGAAAAGATACTGGAGAACCAAGCTGAATCTATAAGAATTCACACACACCATGGTATGACTGTTTATACTAAATCAGTCTTCCACCAAGCCTACCAGGTGGAGTTCAAAAGCATGGAATAAGGGCTGGAAAGATAGCCCAGCTGGTGAAATAATTGCCTGGCAAGCATTAGGACATGAGTTTGATCCCTAGAACCCATGAAAAAATCTGAGCATGGTGGTATGGGATTGTATCCCAGTGCCAGGGAGACTGGAATAAATCCCTAGGGCCCACTAGTCAGCCAGCCTAGTCTACTTGGTGAGTTCTAAGCCAGTGAGAAACTTTGCCTCAAAAAAAAAGAAAAGTGGATAATATCCAAGGAACAATATCCAAGGTTGTCCGGTGACCTCTACACCCATTTGCATACGAATGTACCAAACCACACGTGTGTATGCTCCCCCAACACACACACACACACACACACACACACACACACACACACACACACACACTGAAGTGAAGCTACCATGATTTTTTACAAGCACAAAAAAAATATATCATCCTCACAACTTGAGAAAAGCTTTGAAGTAGATTTAAGCTTCTTAGTCTTTAGTCAGAATCTATTATTTTAACCTTGAGACCATTAAACAGAGGACAGAGCTAAGCTGTGTTGATTCATGACCTATACGAATTTTAAGATTATAAATATGCTCAGACTCTTGACCTACAAAAATTGAAATAAGTAAATTATGTTCTTTTATACAACTGAAAAAAATCCAAAACTTTAAAAAAAATTAATAACAGTTTGAAGCTGGTCTTTAAGTCTACTGAGGTTTATTCAACTAGTGGTCTCTTAATTTGTAAGTTTAAAAGTTTCAATGATGAAAAAAATCATTGTTAAGAGACTAACAAAAAGTTCATCAATCATACTGACCTAATGGACTAATGATTGAAGTGGCAGCTGTAGCTGAAAGTTTTCCTGTGTCCTGCTGGTCCACAGCTGCTCAGACCCAAGTAAACACACAGAGGCTTATATTAATTAAAACTTCTTAGCCATTAGCTTAGGCTAACTACTGACTAGCTCTTACACTTAAACTCATCCCATTTCTGTTAATCTATATGTCGTCACGTTTTCCATGGCGGCTTTACCTGTGTGCCATTACATGCTGTTCACTGAACAGTAGACTGGCGTCTCCTCACTCAACCTTCCTCTTCCCAGAATTCTCCCTGTCTGCTTATCTTGCCTATACTTCCTGCCTGGCTACTGGCCAATCAGCATTTTATTTATCAACCAATAAGGCAACACATTCACAGCATACAGAGCACCATCACCCATCAGACAGCTGAGCTCAGTATTTAGTAACTGGCCATGTTTGAAACATGAAGAAGAATCTAGGCAAGATCTAAAATGTATATACAGCTCATCAAATATGAACTGGAGATACCATGAATCGAATATTTTGTTTTGTTTTGTTTTGTTTGAGACAGGGTTTCTCTGTGTAGTTTTGGTGCCTGTCCTAGATCTCTGTTCTGTAGATCAGGCTGGCCTCGAACTCACAGAGATCCGCCTGGCTCTGCCTTCTGAGTGCTAGGATTAAAGGCATGCACCACCACTGCCCAGCCATGAACTGGATATTTTAGATAAGATCTAAGAGGTATAAGGATATTTAAGTCCAATGTTGCAGAGTCTAGTTTGAAGCTATTATGGACTAGAATATGTTCCTAACCCCAAATTCATGTTTAAAGTCTAATACCTAAAACCTCAAAATGTGACTTTATTAGTACCTAATTAACATGTTATCATAGAGTGAGCCTTAATCCAATGAAATTAAGACAGAAAGAGGCACAGGGAAGCTCATATGAAGACAGCAGAAGATGACTGCTATAGTTAGAATAAATGTTTCCCAAAGGTCCATGTGTTAAAGGCTTGGTCCCCAGGACAATCTAATTGAGAGGTACTATAATCCTTGAGCAGATGGGACCTTGCGGACAATCTTTAGATCATTAGTAGCATGACTTCAAAGGAGACTGTGACACCCTGGTCTCTTTTTCTCTGCACCAAGGCTCATGATTTGAGCATTGCTATGTTGCATGTACCTCACTCACCATTGCCATCAGGTAATATCTAATTTTAGATCAGAACTTCTAGGCATTTTCTGGGTTATTTTATTGCCAACTTTATAGGATTTAGAATCTCATGGAAATACACCTCTGGGCACAATTATGACAGATTTTTCTATATTAGGTTAATGGAAACGGGAAGATCCACTCTAAATGTGTTCATTACTATTTCACAGACTAGGATCCCAGATGAATAAAAAACAGAAAGCAAGCTGAACACAAGCATACATCTCTCTCTGCTTTATAACTGTACAAAAAGTGACCAGCCAATCCTTGTTCCTATCTCCTTACCTTCCTTGCCATGATTTTCTACATCCCCAGAACTTTAAGGCAAAATGAAGCCTTCCTTTCTCAAGCAGCTTTTGTCAGGTATTTTATAACAACAATAAAATAATTAATATAGACTACTAGAATCCAGAATTATGATAAAATAAATTTCAAATGTTTAAGCTACATATCTCAATATACTCTGTAAGATCCTCTGTCACAGCCTTAGTAAACTAATTAAGCAGTCATTAATATAACACACAGAAGCTTACAATATAATGCTGGTATAACACGTAGGATAATAGTTGAATAAAGTATGATAGTGTACATACCAGCAATCCTAGTACATGGGAGGCTGAGGCACAAGCACCTTAAGTGCTAGGCTAGCCTTAGGCTATGTTTACATAGCCAAAAACCAACAAAAGAACAACTGAGTACATTTCTTTAAAGAATACCTTCATTTTTAATAGCTGCCTAAGAGATGCTCAAGAAGGAAATATTGCTAAGAAGGAAAATGTATACACTTTAAAACAAATTTTAAAATTACAACTGTACACTCTTTATTCCTACCTGAAGTGCTAAAATTAGAGGCTAACAAGCAGTAATGAGAATGTAGAACAATTAAGGAATTGGCATGACTAAAGTAATAAAACCAAGGATACAGATGATACTAGAAAAGAAGTCAGCCTAGGACTACTACCTAGAAAATCCCCAAAACTGACACAAAGAATAATATAGACAAGGGAGTCTAAAACTGAAAGTGGTTGTGGTGGGGGGAGTCAAAGGAAGAGTAATGAAGGGAGAAGAAGATAGATGTGGGAAAAAACCATATATATATATATGAGAGAGAGAGAGAGAGAACCAGATATAAAAATACATGACACAGGAAGCTTAGACTTTCATAGTAATAATACTAACAAACAACAACAACAAAAATAATAAAATCTACTAGTTGGGTATTACAACTATAACATTTAAGCCATCTTGGGAAAAATAGACCCGACTCAGCTGCGGGCTGAAGAGACACAAGGGAAGTCGCTGTCGCGGGAGCTAGAGCCTCCGACTCAGGACTCCCGCGCCATGCCGTCCGAGAAGACCTTCAAGCAGCGCCGCAGCTTCGAACAAAGAGTGGAAGATGTCCGGCTCATACGGCAGCATCACCCCACCAAGATCCCGGTGATAATAGAGCGATACAAGGGTGAGAAGCAACTGCCCGTCCTGGAAAAAACCAAGTTCCTTGTACCTGATCATGTGAACATGAGCGAGCTCATCAAGATAATAATTAGAAGGCGCTTACAGCTTAACGCCAATCAAGCTTTCTTCCTCCTGGTGAATGGGCACAGCATGGTGAGTGTGTCCACACCCATTTCTGAAGTGTACGAGAGTGAGAAGGATGAAGACGGCTTTCTGTACATGGTGTATGCCTCCCAGGAGACATTTGGAACAGCACTGGCTGTGTAAGACTAAAACAATGCCTAATGTTTGTTAAGCCCTTATCAAGGAAAAAAGGGACGTTACCAGTGGATGCTGGTCAGCTCACACTCACAGATCAGAACGTAGGCGCCCACCTAGGGTGTTAGGAACTGTTTGTCAGCCAGAAACTGAGCTCCATGCAAGCGCATTCAGCTTGGAAACTCATCTAAACTAGGCTCTCTTGTGTTCAAACTTTAGAAGTTTAAAAATAAAATACTTTGCATCCTAAGTTGCCAATAAAAAAAAAAAAAAAAAGGGAAAAATATATTTGGCTCCCATTGGACAAGTCAAGAAATAGCATAAAAACTACATGTTCCCTATTCTAAAAAGCATATGAAGGAATTTTTCCACTGTGCAAGTCTCATTCATTAACAGTTCATGGTTTCTACTCAGTTCAAGGCAATGTTTTTTAGAGTAAAATAATAACTACAATAAGGTCTTCATAGTCCACGTAGAAAGGAAAGAAAAATGGTGTGGTACCTAGTATCAATGACTGTGGGCAATTTCAAGGACAAATGGATCTTGTCATTCTTGAGGTCATTAAATTTTTTTTTAAATTTTTTGGTTTTCTGAGACAAGGTTTCTCTATATAACAGTCTTGGCTGTCCAAGAAACATGCTCTGTAGACCAGCTTGGCCTCAGACTCACAGAGATCCGCCTACCTCTGCAGGGATTAAAGACATGTACTACCACCACCCGGCGACGTCGTTAATTTAATATGCCATTAATTTGTCTACAAAAATATAAACCTAAAAATAAGAATCTTACTTTCAGGTGTTCTTTTGTTCCAATGACCAAGTTCAGCAGTCAAACATTTCACTTGCATAATAAGTAATGAGAGCTATAAGAGGGAAAAAAAAAGAGATTTCAAGGTATTTCCTATAGAATATTGATGAAAATAAAATCAACACTGTAATACTAGTTCTAAAATAAGTGGTTATCAAAATAGCATCACCAAAAAGATTCTACTACCATACTAACTATAGCTCCTAAATGGCTTTCACAGCAATGATACAGTATGCTATTGAAAATAAAGAATTCTGCTTTACAACCAAAACTAAAAGTACCTAAACACATTACATTTACTTGCTAACTATATCTTAAAAAAACCAAAAAAAGATGCTAACATAGCAAGACATCCTCCCCCCACAAAAGAAATGAAAACAAGATGTTATGTCTTGCCAGAATTTTCAGTCCAGTTTTCCTTAAATATGTTCATTTCCTCTTTGTGATCTTTCAAAATATTGTAACTGCTTTTAATTGTACTGTAAAAAGAAATTAGCCACATGTAAAAAGCATTTTTTAAAATACATTAGTAGTTTGCAAAATGTATATACCATATCCTGAAACAAATTATGGTAAGTGTCTTTTTGGTGTGATAATGACAAATTTGATTCTGCTATAAAATTAAACAACACTTTCTAATAATAAAACAACAGTAGTATTGTGAAAGTAATAAAATATAGAACTTTTCTTCATAAAATTATCTAACTTTTTGCTTCAGAAAGGGGATTAAGCCAGGTAGTGACATAAGCTTGCATATAAGCACTCAGAGATTCAGTTCAAGATCAGCCTTGGCAACATAGCAATTTCAAGTCAGAGCAGGCTGCATGAGACCCTCCCTGCCTTTAAAAACCAACAAAACACAGAAAACTGAGTTTGAGTGCTAACAGTATGAAGGAACTATACATGCAGAAATGAGGTATCAAAGCAAATTAGGAACTGCTACTTCTTAAAAGGCCTGCTCATAGCATCAGCCCTTGACTTGGATTTGTGAACTTGGAATGATTTCAAGATGGTTTCCAAATGCCTAACTCTTTAAGAGTGGCTTTCAGTGCCAAAACAATTCAAGCAGGGTATGGTTTATGTTGAACACCTGCTTTATCTTCTGGCATTTTGACATCTTCCAGGTAAAGGATGACTATATCACCAGTTCGCACTAAAAATTTTGGACACCAGGTTTCTCCCATGTTAATCAATGCTTTACATCACAAGTTGATAGTCTAATTTAAGAAGGTGTTAAGTGAATCTATTGTTAGACAACTCCTGAAAAAGTTCATAATCTTGTTCCTCTCAACTTTACCCTGAAAAAGTTCCTATCTCATTCCCTCTCAACTTTACCCACACCCTTTCCCTTTGCTGATCTGACTCTGCATCCTTTCACCATAATAAATCTTAGCCACAGTAGACTATAGACTAAGTCCTATGAGTCCTCTTGGAGAATCATAAAACTTACAAATGATCTTGAGGACCAGATGCACAACAGGAAACCACAAACTATATTCTTTGGCTATTTGTAACTTAGGATAGTACTTGTTACAGGTATACAAACACTCCTATCAAAGTCAGTGCTTGGTGTACTGGGAGAAAACCACTCCGTTCCTTTGTAGGTCTAGTGTCCAGTGATTCATATTTAGTAAGGTTTCAATTTCTACAATAAAGGAACCATATTTTCCCAAGAAAAAATGACAGGTTAGTTAACACGTAATGAATTTTAAAAATGGTATATATACTGTTAGAATTTTACAGTACACTGTACACTGTATATGTACAGACTCTAAAACATTCTTATGGACACAAAAATGACACTGGGAGTGCCAAAATTTGGTGCATCAAAGTTTATAATTGTATTTTCCTGAGGAATTGCTCCTTTTATTAACATGTTGTGTCCCTTTTTAAAAATCTCTTCTAATTAGTTCTGGTTTGAAGTTTTTTTGCCAGATATAAAGATAGCTAGGCCTGTTTGTTTACATTTTCTGTTTCCTTGGTGTTTTTTCCATCCTTTGATACTAAGTTTTGGGGTATCTTTGCTGGATAAGTGTGTTTAGTTCTTGGCTTTGTTTCTTATTTGAAATAGAAGAGTTCTCCAACTGTCTCAGGATACAGGTTTAGAGTCAGTGAGATGGCTCAGCAGGGAAAAGGGCTTGTGGCACAAACCTGGCCACCTCAATTCAATCCCTGAAACCTAGTCAAGGTGGAAGGAGAGAATTGACTTGACCAAGTTGTTCTCTGACTCCCTCCAACACACACACACTGTGGCACACATGGCCCCCCACCCCCATCATATGCATGTATACACACACAAAATAATTTTTAGTTAAAAAAGAATATAAGTATTAACAAAGTTGTTTATTGGAATAAATATAAACAGATGAACTTTTTTTTTCCAAAATAATGAATTTTGCTTACCTATTTTCTAGAACAGAATATAAGTCCATACCTGAGCATTTGAGTTAGTGAGTGTCTCAGTTCCAGTGAGTAATAATTTATTCTGACACTTGATTTAAAAAAGTAAAAAAAAAATGACATAATTATAATCCATAGACAATTCCCTTCTCCTCCCTTTTTATACTAACCCCATACAACACCCTTCTAAAAAAACATATAAATATGTGATACAAGATCTATTTAAATTTCTACCTAAGAAAATGAGGAAGGCAGTCAAATTAGTAAGGAAAAAGGAAGAGTCATACGTGTAGCGCAGTGGTAGACCATCTACACAGAGCCTTTGGTTCCATCCCCCTCACCCTCCACAGGACAGTGACTAGTAGAATAAAGAAATAAAACATCCAGTAGCTAGCATGAATTGTAAGTTACAAAATGGAGAAAAAAAATGGGAGGTAAGAGAACAAGAGAGAAAGTACTATAGAATAATAACAAAATAAGCAATTAAGAACATAAGAAAAGCCAAGCGGTAGTGGCGCACGCCTTTATCCCAGCACTCGGGAGGCAGAGGCAGGTGGATCTCTGTGAGTTGGAGGCCAGCCTAGGCTACAGAGCAAGATCCAGGAAAGGCACCAAAGCTACACAGAGAAACCCTGTCTCAAAAAAAAAAAGACGAACATAGGAAAATAAGCCTCCAAAAGACATTGTATGCCAGACTTTAAAAACATCCAATAATGTTAATAACTGTATTTGATAGGTAAAAATATGAGTAACTCAAGTCTTATTTGTCCGCATTTCTGGTTGCAATAATTTTTTGTAAATTTTTAACTTATTGTTAATTGAACCCAAGTTTCATAGAGAAAAATAACAAAAAATAATTATAAAAAATATCTAGTAAGTACATTAATGATATACAGTACCAAAGATTTTGTCAAATGATTTTTTTTAAAATACTCCATTCATCTTTCTTGCTGACAGTTTAATGAAAGAACAGGATGCTATAGACATAAAAAATTCATTCATAACTACTGCTCTGACACTTTACTTAAGTACTACATGTATCTGTTTAAATCATATACTGTGGTATGCTAAAGAGAAATTTTACCAAAATAACATAGTATATCAAGTGTCTCTAGTTCATTAAAACAAAAATATACATAATTTCAAGCTCAACATTTGTATTCATGTTTCACTCATAATCCTTAATTATATATTATTTCTATATTCTACTGGCCCAAAACAGGTATTAAAATAATTTATGATTCCCTCTAATCTTACATTCATTAACTTTTTTTTTAAAGATTTATTTATTTATTATGTATATAGTGTTCTGTTTGTATGTATGTCTGCACACCAGAAGAGGGCACCAGATCTCATTATAGATGGTTGTGAGCCACCATGTGGTTGCTGGGAATTGAACTCAGGACCTCTGGAAGAGCAGTCAGTGCTCTTAACCTCTGAGCCATCTCTCCAGGCTGACATTCATTAACTTCTATGTCCTTTTGTTTTCAACCTCCTTAAAACCTTTTGAATTCATTCCTTTTTTTTTTTTTATGGTTTTTCAAGACAGGGTTTTTCTGTGTCACAATCCTGGCTGCTTTGTAGACCAGGCTGGCCTCTGCCTCTCAAATGCAGGATTAAAGGCGTGTGTCACCACCACAATACTGTTAATGGTACATTATATACAATATTATAAATGACTATTGTGTCTATAAGAAAAAAAATCTCCTTGAGAGGCAGAACTACCATCACTTTTTTCCTCTATCTAATATAAAGTTTCTTAAGAGAATGCTTTTAGTTTTTACACATTATTTATATATATATATATATATATATATATATATATATATATATATATATATATATATAGGAAACTGTTAGTTTCCTAAGTTTATTATGTAAATCTTATATTCACTCACATATCACTTTTATTTTTATTTGTTGATACTTACTTCTTCCATGTCTTTCCACATTTCTTCACATTGCTTAATAAGTTCTTCCTCGGGATCTATACCAATTTCCCTGTCTGTAGTAATATCTGGATCTAGTTCTAGTTGATTCTCTGACATATCCTTTATAGTTTTCTTCACCTTAGTGGAAAAACTAAAATAAAAAGGATACATGCATTTAGCAACCATTTGCTGAATGTAGCAGTGACTAACAGACAAAAATCCTTTGAGAAAAATCAGCACACTACTGTTGGAGGGAATATTTTAGTATAGCCATTATAGAAAAGAATGATATGGCTGTAACAGCAAAAACTAGAAACAGAACTACCACAGGATCCAGGAATTCCACTACTAAACAAATATCCAAACAAATAAAGCCACTATGGAAAAGATATCTATCTACAGTCTCTTGTTTACTATAGCACTATTCACAATAGCCCAGACATGGAATCAACTAGGTGTCCACCAACTGAAGGATTGATAAATAAGATAAGGTTCTTCCACTGTAATAGGATGGTCAGTAGAATAGTAAGAGTGCAAGATACAGCTTGGGGGCGGGGGAGAAGTGTTGGCAAGAGCTGGTGGAAGTCCTGTTTGGATTACTTCTACCTACTAAGTGAAATGGTAACTATAGTAATCAGTTGTGAGTAAGGATAAAGAGAAGGAATTTGAAATTTAAGAGCAGATACTGCCAGGTGGGGTGGCCCATGCCATTAATCCCAGCACTTGGGAGGCAGAGGCAGACAGATCTCTCTGAGTTCAAGGACAGCCTGGTATAATAAGGAATTCCAGGACAGCCAGAGGTACATAAAAGAAAAACCCTGTCTCAAGGGGAGGGGGGGCTGGAGAGATAGATTATTGCTTAAAGTTTTTACAATCAAAAATTTAAGAGTAGAGGGGGGAAGGTATATAAAACGGTTATATAAGAGAACTCAAAGAATATAAAGCAGTTTTGGATGATGGCCCAATTAAAACAATGAGCTGGGTGTGGTGGCGCATTCCAACACTCTGGAGATAGAGGTGGGTGGATCTCTGTGAGTTCAAGGACGGCCTGGTCTACAAAAGCAAATTCCAGGATAGCCAGAGCTGTTACAGAGAGAAACCCTGTCTCCAGAAACCAAAATGATGATGATGATGATGATGATGATGATGATGATGATGATAGCATATTAAAAGGAATGATAGTCATCCAGGAGCTAAAATTATGCCAGTAAAGAAAAGTAAGACAAGGTTACTAGATGGCTGCTGCAAAGAATAGGAGATGATATCATGAGATTTAAAGTTAAGTAAATTTATAGATGTAGATGGAGAAATAACAAAAAAGAGGGCTTCCAGGTTACAATGTCAAATGCAAATCAGAATAAACACCACCCCAAAGTTTTTACTCCTATGGCATTAAGTTTTTACTCCTGTGGAATCAAGTTTTATATTGCTTAACCAATAAGTTACCAACAGAATTGTGAAATAGATCTAAATAGATGCAACACTATACCGTTCCTACGTCCTTTAAGTCAATAATGTAAAGATGACAATTCTCCCCAAATTGAACTAATTTATCTTAATTAAAGTCTAAAAAGTGACAAAAAGTCGCACTTGATGAGTAAATTCTAAAACCTATACAGAAACATAGAGATTCCAAAATAGCAAAGACCCATTGTACATAACTATTAAATGGAGAATTGGCTCGTGAACGGGCAAATTGAAACACAGAACACAACTGCTTCACATACACACGCTAGTTAAAAAGAATATTCTAATAATGGGAGCCCATCTTATAAATTATAGTAAATTCAATATATATTCTAGCTGATAGAGATCTACTTCATTCTTTTTAACAAAAAGTGCCTTCCACCCTCTCCCGCTAGGATAGATAACCAGCTAGGTTCTGGAATGCCATTGGCCAGAGAGGCTGAGAAGAGCGGGGCATCCAGTTCCCAGGCTGTAAGCATCCGATTTGGTGGGGCTGGGTCTCCCAAACCCGCCAGTTCCCATCCCGGACGGAAAACCAGGGCGATTACCGCGCTCTCCCACGCTTACCTGCCAGAGCCAGTTTAAACTCACGTCAGTCCCCGCCCAGGTTCTGTCAACACAGCCAGGCGGTGACGTTTGCGCGCGCTGCTCGCTGATTGGATCAGCTCTGGCTCAGCCCACCAATCAGGAAGCGCCCTCGGCCGTGACGGAAAGGCTGCGCCGCCGCCGCTCCGGAAGTACGAGCTCACTCGGTTGTCGCGCCTCTGCTGACGCCTCCGGCACCATGGCGGCAGAGAGCGGTAGTGATTCTCAGCTGAGAAGAAGGCGGCGCCGGGACCCAGAGGAACGAGAGAAAACGGAACCCAGCCAGCGAGAACTGGCCATGGCGGTGGCGGGGCGCGAAGAAAACGAGGATGAGAACGAAGAACGCTGGGTTGGGCCGTTACCGGTGGAGGCGACGCTGGCCAAGAAGAGGAAAGGTAGCTGCGGAGTGCCCGCCCGAGAGCAAGTGCAAGGCTACAGTATAGCGGCGTGCGAGGGTTGAGTTCAAGCACGCACGCCCTCGGGAGTGAGAGTGTGGGTGTGTGCGCTTAGACGGACGGTCTTCATTTCTTCCCCAGATCGTGAATTGGTCTTAGTGTAGGTTACTTTTCAAAATACGTAACACTGCGGATTCCCGACTAGTTAGCATAGATGCTACAATAGTGCTTGTCTGTCTTTTTGTATGGGGGTGCTTTTATTCACCTCATAGCTGCCATGTAAAGTTGGAATTCCTAATTTTGATTAACAGGTGTGGGAAGGAGTACTGGTTCTCAGAATCATAGACTTAAATTCCCAACCCTGACTCGTCTACTAGTGAATTTTCAAACCCAGGGGAAGTTGCTTACGTTTCCTGGATCTGAAGCCATATTCGAGACAAAATAGTACTGAATGTGTTCGCGTGTGTGTGTGTGTGTGTGTGTGAGAGAGAGAGAGAGAGAGAGAGAGAGAGAGAGAGAGAGAGAGAGAGCGAGCGAGCGAGAGAGCCTTCTAGGTTTTAGGTGTAGTCGTTGAATTTTATATAAGGACACCTTTTTAGTTCCTTATTTTTTCCTCCTGTTAAGTGTTCTCCACAGCAACCTTTGCCTTCACGGCAGTTAGAACATTTTGTGGTTGTATGTTTATTCATGTGACTTTCTGAACATTACTAGACTAAACATGTAAGGACATGTATCATGCACTTTTTGCTCCAACCCTTGGGTACAGTGCTTTGCATAAAAATGTAATGAGTATTTTATTACGTTTTTGCTGTTATTATTTCACATAAATATTGCTACATATACCACTTAAAGGGAAGAAATAGGGATAACTAGGCAGGGAAAAAAAGAAGAAAGAAAAAACCAAACGCTGAAATGCTGGCATAGGAAACAAGCATCCTATAAACAATACAGTTTCAACAGAAAAATCTTTGCCCTTAGCCAAATGCTTCTTTTAAGCCAGCCAGTAGTGTATGAGTTTGAAAACAACAACACAACCTCTGAAACTACAAACAAAAGAATTGTTATAAAAACATATAAAACATTACCTAAAATGACAAGTGTTTAATAATTCTAAACTTGTAGAAATGGAGCTAAAATTGGACTTTTTCTGTATGGTTTCACAATGATATACAGTTATATGACACTACATTAAATAAAGCTATTTCTTAAAAACATTCCTTTTTATTATTTTATATGTATGAATGTTTTGCCTGCATATATACCATGCAGGTGTCTGGTGTCCAAGGAGTCCAGAAGAGGGCATCAGATATCCTGGAACTGAAGTTACAGATGGAAGAGTAGTCAGAACTCTTAGCTGCTGAGCCTTCTATCTGGCCCCAAATTAAGCAATATTTAAATTTTTATTTATTATTGTGTGTGTTGGTGGCATCAGAGAAGTGGGAACACACATGCCATAGTGGAGGCCACAGGACAACTTTGTGGAGTTGGTTCTCTCTGTCTACCTTTGTGTGGGTTCCAAGGATTGAACTCGGGTTACCAAACTTGGGCCAGCACCTTTACTCTGTGAGCCATCTCACCCATCTTAAGGTAAACGATTTCTTATGAAAAATAATTATTTCTTTCTCTTTTTTATGTCCAAGTTCCCTTGAACATATTCAGAGGAATTAACGAACAATAAAAGCTATGTAGAACAGATAAGATAAAATTTGTTACAGCAAACTCCAACAATGGTATTAAAAAGACAAATGGAATACTACTTTTATGTAAAGAAGTGCCAAAGTAAGCAGCCCAGGATTGGTGTAGAAGCTCCAGAAGTTCCTAGGCACCTTTTGCCCCAACATAACAAGTGTATGGTCCTCATTTTCATCGTCCTGAGTTCTTAGAATTACAGCATTAATAACCTAGCGCCAAGCTAGGGAAGAAAGGGAAGCTTTTCAAGATTATTTTCTTATTATCACAAAACATGTGCACCTTATCGCTTTATGTAGTGCATACAGTCACTACAGAGGAATGTGAGAAAGGCCATTTAACCAAATGTTGGTAGGCAGACATAAAAAATGGGGATTCTGTTACTCAAAAAGTTAATGGAAATAGTCTGCCAGACATAATTTTGAGTGTGCTATATAGCAGTACAAGAATCTAACAGTTTGTCATGTTCAATTTACCAACTTTATGTAGGCATTTTTGATTATCTTATTTGGAAACAATACCTTTTTTAAAACTGATTTTACTAATAAAATTGGTCCTGGCTCATAATAAAATTAAGATTTTTTTTTTAAACATTCCTCAATTTTGCATTTTTCCAGTTGTTGTACGCCTAGAAAAATACCTGAAATGCACTCAACTAGGATTTCCTGAGCTCTAAACATCTAAGCATTTCATTTTGTTTTCATGTTTCGGTTCTTCTTCAATGACTTATTAGAGGATTGGTGGCCTTAAAAATAAACATACATCTTACAAATAGCTGTTAGCTTTTTAGTTAAATTAACCATAATAACTGGTATCTTTATGGTTATGGAGATTGTCATGGTTTCATAAAGCTTTAGGTCTCTTTGAACCTTCATATTAAGCCAGAACCAGTCACAATTTCAAAACCTTTGAAACAGAAGCTAGAGCTCAGTCATTAGAAGCACTTGGCTCCTCTTCCAGAAGACCTAAGCTTGAGTCCCAGCACCCACCTCAGACAACTCATAAACCACCTGTAATTCTAGTTCACATGGATCTAACACCCTCTTTTGGCCTAGTTGGACCTGTACACACAGGGCATACAATGGCATAGACACACAATCTTTGAAACAGTATCTATGTAATCCCTGAGAACCTGTCATAGTAACTTCTGAAATAATGTTATAACTGATATAACAAATACTGTATTTTTATCCCATTTATTGGTTGAAAGAAAATTAAATTTAGAAGAGAATACAAAATTTAGAAAATTCTAAATAGTCATGTTAATTTCATTCATTAAATATAATTTCTACTCTCTTCCCCAGTTCTAGAGTTTGAAAGAGTGTATCTTGATAATCTCCCCAGTGCATCCATGTATGAGCGCAGTTACATGCACAGAGATGTTATCACGCATGTGGTATGCACCAAGTAAGTGTTATCATCCTCTTTATAATGTTTTAATTTTATTTTATGTGTGTGAGTGTTTTGCATATGTCTGCACCACTTGTGTGCCTATAGAAGCTAAAAGAGGGCATCAGATCTCTTGGGACTGGAGTTACAGACCTTTGTAAACCACAGTACGGTTGCTGGGAATTAAACACAGGTCCTCTGAAACAGCAGCCAGTGCTCTTAACTACTGAGCTATCTTTCCAGTAGCTCATATTACATATTCTCAGAAAAAAAATCTAAATCCACTTAATTATGAGTGGATTTATGGAAGTAATTTGGGGATTTTGTAGATTTAATTCTGCAAGTTCTACAGTAATTGAGCAAAGCCTTGCATGTTTTCTTATATAAAAGAAAACATCCTATCAGATAGACTATCCTAGTATATGTAACATAGATTTGATCATAACAATCAATAATGGATCAACTGGTATTATCAGAGCTTTCCTAAAGAAGAAGGTATATTGAGATAGGAATAATGATAATTTGGCTTCTTTGGTGTTTATAGAGAAGAAGATGGTAACTCAGGCCTCCTGGAGTTATCAGTGGACCTTCAAAATGAATGACCAGGAAGACTCAAAGAGTAATAATGATAGGAATAATGTTCCTCTTGTTTTTAACTCATTCTATGTCTAGATAGTGTTGTGATGTATTTCATTAATTACCTGATTTATCTTAACAGTTTTAAAAGTCAAAAGTTTCATGTTATAGGTGAGAGAACTGTGAGTAAAAAGGTTAAGTGGCAGAGAAGCTAAAGAAAAAAAAAAAGATAAGCTAAATTCCAGATTTCTATTCCTTATTTGGATTTTGAGCCTGTGGCAAGAGTAATATCAAATCCACATTTTTAAAAGGAGCATCTTGGCTGTACTCGGATGAATGCTTTCAAATAGGACAAAAATAGATACAGGGAGAACAGAAGGCTTGTGTAGCAATTTGGATCAGCTGTGATCGGGGCTTGGCTGATACTGACCGTGGTCAAAACTGGATGAAATACTTAAGAACTGTCCACTTTTGATTTTTTAAGACAATTGCAATTGCATTTCAGATGTCCATTTCTTCGTATTATAACAATAGGCTAACTGACCAAATACAGTTCACACTTGTTAATGGAAAGCAACTGATAGATACTGGCACTGCTTTTCTCCTAAATTGGATTTGTTTTTTAACCCAAAGCTGTAGAGTTTAACAAAAAGGTTTGTTGTTTTTCGGTTTTTTTGTTTGTTTGTTTGTGTGGGGGTGGGGGTTGTGGTTAAGTAAATCTTAAGCCATTAACCATGAATGTAGTGTAGTGTGAATAATTTAGTTGTCAAAGTTAAGTAGCATGTGTAAAATACTTAATGTATATACACTGTGCTCAACAAATGGTTTCAGTTTTTATATATGTGTGGTAGGAAAAACATGTTCTGATCAGAATCTTTTTGAATATTAACCAAAATACCTTGAATAAGATATGAAAAAAAAATTGTTGGACTTTTCTATATGTGAAAGTAGTTTGAGTCTTTATAATCTTCTGAAAACTAGAAAATTTTCTCTTTAAAAGACTGCCTTTAGGGCAGTAAGAAAGTAAAGTCTACTGATTCTGGCAGAGATTTCT